TGCCGGCAGGAACATGCTTTCAAGAGCATCTTTGAATCTCCCCCCAGCCTGGGCAGCTCGGCGGCGCTTACCTTGTACAGGACATAATGACTTTTCGTGACAGCGAAAATCAGGTGGATGTTGTTTTCGGCGAGTTTCTCCCCAAGAAGCGCCAGGGAAGGATAATCCTACAGGCACAAAAAGGGCGGAAAGACTGATGGGTAACACAGAAACAAAGACTAATTTCATTGCTCTTCTCCTCCCAACAGCAAAAATCGTTCCAGAAATGTGGCATATTTTGCTGCGGGAGGAATTCCCTGATGTACCAGTACAATCCCAGCTGAAACAGTAGAAATTCTGTCATCCTTTAAGTATTTCTGCTACACCCTTCACTAGAATATACGACTGACAACACCATTAGCTACAGCAACACCTGAAACACTGGATTTCTTTCTTTCTTCTTTGCCACCAGCAGACGCACATGTGTAAGAAGTTGGCCGCTACCTCCAGGGATGCAAAGCAAGGAGATCTAGATCTGTAGTAAGTGAAAATCTATGATTTTTCTCTCAAAGCAGAAACATCCACTGCCTCCTCTTTCTGCATACTGGAACCATAAAGCGATTACGATAAGCTCTTTAATTCTGCAGACTTCCCAGACAGAGAGGATGGCCGGATGATACTGCTTTAGCTACCCACAAGAAACAAAATAATGAACCAGGGCTCACTTTCAAGAGACCAGCTTGAGTTTAAAACCCCCTGCTGCTTCCAAAGTGTCGCCCTCAGAAAAAAACACCTCGTTTACTTGCAGACTGGAGGGCTGATTGAGAGCCTCCAAGACTCAGACATGGAAATACCAAGGCAGCGTCCCCATGCCAGCTCCCCAGCGTAACCCCAAGTCAGTACGGGGGCTGCACTCCGGTGTGCATATGACTGCTAGGATTGCAGACAGGTGGGTGGAAAGGGAGCTTCTCCGAGGATCCTAGTTTCCATCCACAAACACCTCCCATTACGAGGTGACAGCCATGCAGGAACAAAAATCATAAGCAGTGCTTGTGATTTGCTGAATAAAGCACCCTTCTGCAGAAGGATGCGATAAAGAGGCGGCAGGCAAGTGCTGGTTCACTCAAGTTTTCTCCACTGAATTTAAACTGAAAAAAAGGGCCAGTTTGTCTATTTATTACTAAGACCTATGTTAGCGTTGTGCTCAAAGGCTGTGGACAAGAGGAGCGTCCTGTTGTGCCTACTAGTGTAGCCACATCAAGGTAGGCTCAGCCTCTCCAGGGACAAGCTGACAGTCCACTGAACAATTTAGGAAAGGGATGATATATTTTATGTTTCCTATACACTTTGTGGGCAAATCTGATCCTCTTCAGGACACCGAGTTACTTTTCTCTCCCTTACAATGAGCCCTGAAGGAACTCGCTGAGCTCCTAACTCCTTTTTGAGCATCACAGAAGTATTCGCAGTGGGGGATGCCCAAGGGGAACTGCAAATTCTATTTGCAAACTGCAGGAGCAGGTGCAACCATGCTGATCAGCGGGTGCATTAGCCAAAGGCTGCTGGAACCGGGGGTGGCTGGTCTCAAGAGAGGTCCACCAACACCTCAAGGTCTCCAAGGGCTGGGCCCCCATGTGCCCCCCTCACCAGCTGGCTGGACGCGCTGTACTCGTTGGCTTCATTCAGGTGGCACTGGCCGTCATGGGGCTGCACCAGCCCCCCCAGCTTCCCATCCAGGGCTATGTGAGGCACATCATCCGTTGTGAAGACCAGCAGGTGAGACGCCTCCTTACGCCAGCCAATCTTCTCCTGGCGGGAAAACAAACCCCGTGAGACAGCCGGTCTGCCCCTGCCAAGCCCGCACTTCACCCCTCACCCTGCACATGGTCCCAGCCGTGCACCCATCCAGCAGTAGACCCATCAGCACTAATCAGCAGAGCACCATGCTCCTGTCCACCCATCCCTGGCAAGAAAACAAATTGTCAGGGGCCCATCTAGCATTTCCCAATGTCTCCTTCCAACACTCTTACTTAAAAAGGCATGAGGAGGTGTATGGACTGTCCACCAGACCTTCTCTATCCAGATCCAAGAATAAGAATTTCAGCTGCTTTTATAGCCAAAGGAGACCTGCCAAATTCCTCCACACACATTTAATCTGACCTTATTTCCTCAGCTCTGCAGAGCGGCCAAGGCAACAGCAAAAGCTGCAATATCCCCGCTCAGCAGTTTCACCTCCGCCCGCTCGTAAAGGCCGTTTCTGAGCTGCGATGCACGAAGTCCTTGCCCGAGCGGCTGGCTTTGGTGCACCCACATGCATGCACAGGCATTCTGTGCGAGGACCAGACATTACAACCATCTTTGCATGGAGAGAGCTGCAGGGACAGATTTTTTTTTTCCAAATAAAAGGATAACATGTTTCCCTCCCACGGAGCTTCCCCAGATTTCTGGCTCTGCATTGGCCCGAGAAGCAGATCTGTGCCTACACCAGCACACTGAAGCTGCTTGTTGCAATGGAAGCAGAGGCAAACAGAGAAGCCCAAAGGAAATTTTTGGAAACCGTAGCACTGCAGCACACCTCCCTGCGCTCGCTGGCTTCTCCCACTGCCAGCTCATGCCAAGCCAGGCAGGCTGAGGTCCCGCCTGCCAACCACGACAGGGAGGTCCTGCCGTGGCAGAGACTGGAGCCAGAAAGCCCCATCTCCCAGAGCTTCCCCTTGGGCTGGCCACCCTGCCCTTCTGCCAGCAAAGACACAGCCCTATGCCTTCCGTCCCCACGTACACCCAGCATCCCCCTCCCTCCAGCCCCCACCTCAGAGCAACACAGCGCAAATCCCTTGGGAAGGGATGAGGGAAAAGCTGGTAAAAGCTTACTGATGGGAACACAGTGCAGACGAATACACCCAACGCCTCCAGAGCTCACTGCACAGCTTATTTAGCAAAATCTGACATCCAGCTTGTTTTCTATCAGCATGCTAGCCCATAAACTGCTGCAGCCCGGCTGCAAAGACGCGTCCTATGGAAAGCGCTGGCATGGGTAGGGCGAGAGGGCAAAGCAGGCTGAAGGATGCGGAATCATGGCTGCCAGCACAATTTTCGCCTGCAAATGTGAGTCATAGCCCAAAGCCTGCTGATCTTTCCGATAAATATAGCTCTTGCTTCAGGGACACTGTTCCAGAGGAGATTTCTTTCCCCTCCCTATTGCAGAAGGTATTATTTCTTTAACGTCATTTTAAGACCCATGCAACGTGAGTGAGGCCATAGGAAGAAATCTTTGGCAATACACATCCTTTGCCACGTACCAGCATGGTTTTTTACAGCCCAGCTCAGTACACAATGAGGATGTTTTTGCTCTGGGAAGCAGGATTCATTCTGCTGAAGTGACCCCACTGGACAAAAGGCAAAATCTTCATGCAAAAGTGTAATTTCTTGAGAACTCAATCCAAAAGTGATTACAGCTCTAACAATGCAAGAAGCAGTTGCTGGTCTACTCAGCCACCAGACAAAAGCCCATCCAGTTCACTTTCCTTTGTGTATCCAAAGCTGATTTCTTTTCTTTTTAAACAATTGAGGCCAAGAAACTCCCAAAGAGATTAAAAGGATTAATTTGAGTTTCATTTCCTTAGAAACATGGTATGCACAAAGAAAATGAGCTGCCTTCAAACAGTAGTTATAAAGCCACTTCAGAGATGATGCTTCTGCTCGCCTGCCTGCTAATCCCACCTTTAAATCAGGGGCTAAGCATCCCTTTGCAGACAAACTCTGCATCTCCGACACACACTTTCCCACATAAAACAAAATCAGAAAGGTTTTGGTTGCTCAGTTCAGGAGCTCACTTCCAAAAACCACTAAGCACGTGCAGTGTCGGTGCCAATATCCGGGCACTGAGTGCATTTGGTGCCTTGAAGCATCGGCCCGGGCTGCCAGTGCCACACCGAAAGAGCTGGAGACCTATGGAAAAAGCACCCGGCGAGGCCAGCACGCCGAGGAGCCACCGCATCTCACGCCGCCTCCGCCAGCAGCTCCCAGGCACTGGAAAATACAGCTCTTCAGCACGCAGTTTCCACCACGAAACCAAGAGCAGCACTCTGCTCCGCTTAAAACAAATAACCAAAGAGACTTTCATTTATTTTTACTGGACTGGGGTTGTTGAACAAAAAAACCTGCACTGACGTCTGCACCCCTCATCTAGTTTTTGATCCCCACGGGATAGAAAGGATTTTGAAAGCAGGGGTGGGACCTGACCCAAAGCGGAGTGAAGTGGGAAGACGTGTCTCCACAGGGCTGGGCATGCTAGGGAACCTGCCCCAACTCCTACAACCCGCTGCAGTTGCCTCCCGTACCCCGAACCAGCTTCTCCCTCCTTGCAGCCGACAGCGACTGGCAAAACCGCCACAGCTGTCTCAGCAGAGCCAGGCCCTCCAAACCCTATTGAAAAGACGGCAAAACCCTGCATCGGTATTTCCAAGCCTGAAATAAATATCTAAATTTATTCTTTGGGCGCTGAATAATAAAGGTTTAATTGCCAAGGCACAAACTGCCAGGAGACCTCCCTGGATTCATCAGTATGTCCAAAACCCCACCAGTTTCTCAGGTGCAGACTGTTCTGGAAGAAAGAAACAGATACAGGTGCAAGACAAATACGCCTTCGAGATTAAAAGCCCAAACCTCCTCTGTTTAGCATAGCTCTGAAAAGCACCTCAGTGTTTCCCACATGTCTTGGCCACCTCCATCTACCAGTGTCTTGCAAGGACCAACTAAAACTGTTTTAAAAGACACTTTATTTTCTAATCCAGCATTATCTCCTTGCTGCATCTTAGTGTATAAGATCTGAAACTTAAACATACTACCAAGCCATATAATGCTTGCACTTAAAGAATGGCAGAAAACCAAAATACTGCAAGTGGAAAATGTAATTACAGAAGGTTGATTAATATTCCTGGCTAACCATTTTAACATCAGGATAAAGGCTTATTGTCTCTGGCTCTTTCATGACCTCCAGAATAACATTTACCATATCTTCATCTTTCAGAAAGGAGCCAAACCCCGGGCTTGCTCGTTAGTCTGTATTAGCTGCACAAACTTTCCCCATTCCTTGGGTTGAAAACCAGGCCAAAAAATTACTTGAGCATTACAGAGCTCTTAGACAGCTCACGCAGAAGAAATGCTTGATATGAATTACAGCATAAAAATACCTAGTCAACAGAGTAGGTTTTGTTTCTGCAGCCTCAGTGCTTGAATGGGAGGAGAAGACCACACTCGGACACCATGGCTTGGAAACAGCAAGGCTCTGCCACGCCATGACCGGCTCTCCCTGGGACGTCCCCCTTGATGACACAAACTCTGCTGCTGAGCACAAAGTACTTCATGGTCAATATGCTGCATCATCCCGAAGGCAGGGAACTTTCTAAAGTCATAACTGCCCTAAATCTTGGGTTTTGAATATGGTGGAGTGTGGAAGCCGGAAAAATCTGGAGTGTGCCAGCAAGATGTAATGGGGCCAGAATTTTGGCTATATCAATCAGCTGGGCCAGAATTTTGGCTATTTAACTCTGGATGGACGGACCCTTTGCTGCTCATGGCTGCGATCAGCTGCTCCACCCACAGCAAGAGGCTGTGCAGGTAGTGTGTGCGCGCTACGGCACAGCCGGTTCTCCTGCCTTGCACACCAGTCCCATGGACTTTCTTTCCCACACCCAAGCTCCAGTAATTAATTAACATCTGTGGCTGCAAAAATTCTTCTGTCATGACTTGCCACATCATGTCAAGAGCCACACAAGCACACATGCTCACCTCTGCTCACCCTTCCTAGAAGATGCTCAGTCCTGAATTTAGATGGCACTAGTATCTAAATTCATCTTCTGAATTTAGAAAGGACCAGGCTGTGCATTCAAGAACCACAGTCAAAGATTTTGGTCCTTACCAACAGTTTTGAGACTGGCACAAACGTGTAGGAAATATCTTGTAGGTCTCCTGCCTTTCAACAACACCTCCAAAATGAGACCCTGTGATACACACCACAGTATTTCTGCACTGTACGGAAACATTGTCCCATCCATGTAGTGGGTGGCACAACTGAGTCACCGCCCTGAGATGTCTCTGCTTTAGCCACGAGAGCCACCCCTCCAAAACTGAGCAGCACTTTATGCCCAGAGTGAACTTTATGCACTGTAGTTGTGCCAACAGCAATATCTGTGCCAGACTGGGAGAGGGAAGATGACTGCTGGGTGGCATCAGATCCAACAGAGCAGGTTCAGTCCTGCCGAGAGCATGAAGTGTAAAGGAAGCCAACCCAGGCAAGGGAAGCTCTGGTTTCCCACAAGCCTGCGTCTCATCATTCCTGCAGACGATGCCTATCTCCCGGCTCCCAAAATCCAGACCCAGAAGAAAACACACCCAACCCGAAGGACTACGCAAGGCTGGAGTGAACAAAAATCAAACTGTATGTCAAGAGGGTCAAAGGCAACCAGAGTCATCCCCGGTGAGCAGGGCAGCTCAGCCACACGGCAGAGAGGACCAAACACTTCCATCTCTGACACACAAAGGGATACGGAGCAAACCGCCTACTTGTTCCAGAAAGATCTTCAAGCAAATATCTCCAGAACCCCTAAGGACGTGGCTAACATAGTACCAAGCTAATGAACTCTGTCTTTAATTACTGCTTACAGCTCCAGTTTTGCTGACAAAGAGGGAGAGCAGGCTATCAGCGCCCGGAGGTGGGATCTCCACACACAAATAGGGCAGGTACAAGCAGAAGAAACCAGCTCCAACCCTGAACATGGGTCAACCACTGCAAGATGTGTTGGACAGACACTTATAAAACGCGTTAAGCCGATGCCCGGTGCTGCTGCACACGAGGGTACATGAATCTGAAAGGATTTCATCCCAGGTTGTCAGGAATCAGCACCTAATAGTCTAACTGTGTGATGAAATCTCAGCTCTAAATTTGCATTTGCAAAAGCTCCATTTTTACCCCTTTAAACTAGAAAAGGTATTAACCTTTTTTTTTTTGCCTGTTCATGTACAAAAGCACATGAAAACAATACATTTCCAGGCCTCTTTCATGGTAGTTACTTCCAAGAAATCCTTATCCTGGCCCAATAACAGAGCAGAAAAAACCTCCTCCTCTTTTTGCCTTAACACCCCAGAAATCAGAGTGGCTCACCTTGCACACGGCAGCCTGCAAAATCGCATCGAAACCGCCCTCCGGAGCATCTCGGTTGCGGGAAACCTTCTGTTTCTGAACTTCTTCATTGAAACGGTCGACTTTATCCGTTAGGGACAAGAGGTGGCGGAAGCCAAAGGATGGGACGCAGCTGGGGAACAGCTTGTAACTGCAGGAGGAACAGAGAAGTGGTCAGCTGGGAGGAACCACACCAGCAGCCAAGAGCTGCAGAAGCTCCCAGCTCTACCAGGCTGATCTCCAAATCTTTGCTCAGAGGGATGAAATACTTCCACAAGGCTTCATGTTTTGGACACTTCAATTTCTGACTATTTATCTACAAAACTCTACAGTAGAGCCCACATTTTTGGTTCCCCCCAGGGGCTTTGAGTAGCTGAAGTTTCCAGAGATCTCACCAGGACCAAATATCTCTTTCCACACAAGGTCCGGGTGGAGACACCAAGCACTGGGCCACGCAGCTCTGGAGTTTCAGCACCCTGAAAGTGGTCTTCACACTCGAACCCTGCAGTGCAGGATGCAACCCACAGTGATCTAAGAGGGCACATTTTGGCTGGAGGGCCAGAGCCACCCTCCCCAGCAGCCCAGGATGGCGGGTTGGTGTCAAAGGGCATCACACACGAGCACCACTGTCAACAACTACTTTTCGTCTATTTTTCAATATGCATTTTCACTCTGTCATCCAGTTTTCTTGGCAGTATGTGCCAGTCCGCACCCACTGCACGTCACCAGGCACCTGGCAATTGCACACCACGAGGGGCATTAATAACTAACGCCACTCACACATCCTCCCACTCTCCCTGCAAGCCGGTAAGCAAACACCGTCTCTGCATTCCAGAGCACCACTGGAGCAGAAAAGTAGGAGTGGCACCCAAAGGCAGACAAAATGCCTCAGCAGGTTACCAGGCAAAATTTTTTTCCCCCATATTAAACAGAAGGCAGCTCTGGTGCTCACCGCACGGCCAGGAGAGCTCAGCAGAGCAGCTCCCGTGGCATGGGAAATCAGTGAGTGCGTGCAGGGGAGAGGGACGAGAAGGGTTAAGAAGAAAATGTGTTTAAAAAGGAGTTGGGCTAGTGCTAATTCACTCTTATCTTCAAAGATAAAACCTGGAGAACAATTAAAGGCCTCTGCTGAGACATGCTCCACTATGGGTAAGTTGTAAGAGGCTTTTCAGACAAAGGAGTATTTAAGATTTAGCACCCCTGGGAACTCAAATGCCTCACAAGGGAACCCCAGAGCAAGGATTTCCACCCGCACAGCCATGCACACACCTAACCACGGGGCAGGTCCCACTGCCTGGGCCTGGCTGGCAATTAGAGCCATCCCTTGTGACCAACCCCGTATTCAGACTTCATCCCGCTCACACCTACGGCCAAGGCAAGCAACGTGCGACGTCTGACGCCTCTGCACTGCAGGGTCTCAGCAAGCAGCCCTTAGCCCACACAGTGCATCTGGGTCCTCAGTTTTCTAGAGCCCTGGTGCAGAAGGAAAACACTGACGCACTATAGGGTCCCACCTCCCATGAAGATGTATAATTTAACCCTTCCTTGTTTGTTTTACTCTCCAGGTTTGCTGGCAGAAGCCATGGGCAGCAGCAGGACAGAAGGTGGCTATCTGAGTGAGTATGCAAGGGCACACAGCAGTGTGGGTGGGTTATCTCAGGCTGTAACCTCCACAAGTCATATCACAGACAGATGGGCAACTGGGTGTTCAGTCAAACCCTCTGCCTTCCTTATCTTTTTAAATTTAGTGTTTGTTTCCTTCATATTATCTCTTTTGAATGACACCGTGTCTGCAAGAGGCCACGTCCTGGCTCCCCGGGAGGTCCCAGCCAAGATGCTGAGGCAGGAGCAGGGGCAAGCAGCGAGCTGGGCTGAGATGGAGCAGGCACAAGGGATCCCAGCCAGACCCCGCATAAAAACAGGGCTGCACCCCACCCAGACCTGCAGGACAGCCATCACTGCAAGGAGAAGGAGGAGCAAGCCTGGACCAGGGGCAAAAAACAGCCACCGCAGCTCAGGTTTACTTGCAGCTTTTCTCAGATGTGAACAGGCCACTGGACAAAGTCTGCTTTGACACTAGAAATAGCTGCAAAAAAACCCACACCTGACAACCCACCTCACTGCCACATCAGCGAGACACTTGGCAGCAGCAACAGCCTGCTTGCAGAGCGGACAGGAGAAGGCCCCACTGCCAGAATGGTCAAACCAGAAGGACATGCAGATAGCCTGACCATGGCGGGAGAAAATGAGGCAACATCTCTGGATGACCTCGATGAAAGGCCATCAGCAGTTTCAGGCATGCCTCGCTGCACAGTTGTCCAGCTCCATCCTCTTCCACCCCACCTCTCCCCATCCGCATAATCACCCTACTTCACTCAGCAAAAGCCATGTCACTTCAATTAAATCACACACCAGCCAAACAAAGTTTTCACTGGAGTGAAACACCCTCCCCAGCCTGTGAGCAACACGAGTGGGTGATGGAGACCGAGGACGATGGAGATGGCCGAGCATATCCCTCCAAGGCCATGCAAAGTTTTCAGAAGGAAGAGCTATGAAGAGTGTGGTGAATATTGTCTATGCTTCATAGACAAAGCACAAGTTTTCAGTGTTAAAATCTATTTGACTTTCCTCTCTGGCAGAACTGGTGAAAAGAGAATATAGGTAGTTTTGTCTGGTCAACGGTCAATGTGCAATGAGATGCCAAATGCTTGGTCAATGCCAAAATGTGCCTGGAAACTCATAGCTGATGCAAGCTCTTTTTAATTTGCCTCTCACATGGAAAGCACTCGCAGAGCTTGGCACCCATTCATGCGGTGATCTTACAATGTAAGTAGCCATGAATAGCTCAAATAAAAGAGCTAACCTTACTGCCCTTACACGACTAGAAAGCACCCCAACGACGGATGAGTTGAAGATGGGGACTACGAAGGCAAGTGTCAATGGTGACATTCTCCGAGGAGGGAACCTGCGGCTGTATCCACCCTTTCGTGCCAACATCCAAACCTGTCTGAGCCTGGACATCCTCCACTACACCCAGTTTCCCTCTAGCATAATCCCCAATTCAACAGACTTGATCTCGATTCTGGCGGTTAGAGGCAAACAAAAAGACTCCAGCAGAGACACTAACAAGCCAAATAAAAAAAAAGGAGGAAGGTTCTGATATCACACCAGATCATTTGGGTCTTTTGCAACTACCAGTTTGCTTTCCTTCCACAGCAACAAAGATAAAAAAAAATGCCTAACATCTTCAAAACACTTTGCAAGAACTCATTAATCAGTCCTATAGGCTGTCACAAATCTTACTTCCCCCAAACACTTCTGCTGGGGAGGACTTATGTTGCCTTGGTCTCCTTATCTGTAAAATGGAGACAAAGAGCTTAATTGATTTACTCAAGGCCAAACTATGATTCAGATCTAGGGTCAGTAACCAGGAATTTCTGGCTTTTGCTCCTTTTGCTTAAAGTCTGTAAAAAAGCCTGCTTTGCCTGCATCCTGTTCAGGTACTTAAAAATAGCTTCAGGCTCCCCATACAACAGTCTCCCATCTCTAGATGCAGAGATCTCCTAGCAGCCACTGCAAAATTGGAAGCTGTCCTATTTTGAATCGCTCTGGAGCATCACAGTGACAGCCACGGCTAATTGGCATTCCCAAAGGTCGAGGTTTAAGTGTGGATTATTATTTAAAGCAAGAATCGGAAGAGAAGACTGCAGCCAGGCTCTGTGCAAACACAGGGCTTGTCCCTTCGGGGTACGCCTACCACTTACCCAATGCAGGGATTGTTTTGGTATCTTGGTGCCGTGTAGGAGAAAGGAGAAATGTTTTTGTCCACGAAAGAGCCAAACCCCAGCCGGAAATTGCTAGTGAGCTTTCGCATCTCTTCAGCCAGCTTGGTCCCCAGATTGCGAATATTATCTAGGTCGTCGTTCATGGACAGGGAGAGATCCATCAGGTAGTAGAGGTCCACAGGATAGTCCTCCACTTGCCGAACCTGAACTCGGAAGGAGGTCCGGTCACCTGCACACACACAAGAGTTGAGAAGGGTGAAAAGGAAACTCCTGGCACACATAAAATCCAGGCCACATGGGGGGCTTGTTCCCCACCTGCAGAGCAGACAGATCACTTGCGAAAGAAGAGGGTGAGGGGAATAAGTTTTCCCAAATCCATCCCTCAGTAGACTAAAAGGAAAGCAGCTAATGACTTTGGGTCCTCTTAAGCTATGTAGTGTACTGGCTGGCAACAAAAAGACACATCTATAGAGTGCATGACTATATTTTACTTTGGAGATATGGGAGAGGGTCTTTCCGTCTCAGCTGAGAGAATATCTAAGGGGACACAAGAAAAATGCTGCTGCTTGGGACTGTGTACAGTCCAGGGGTGTTTTCCTAGAAAACTGGGAAGAAAATCAAGCAGAGTGAACCTCAAATATATGTTTCACAGATGGCTGAAAGAGGGACTCTTCACACGCTTACTTGGGTACGTCCTCAGAGCAAACCGGGAGCAGTCCAAGAAGTCCTGCACAAAAGAGAGAAGGAGGTGGAGCAGGAGAAGAAAGAGGGTCGGGAGAAAACAGCTAGCATGAGATAAATGCAAGATGTCCTCTGAGCTGTGCAAGGAGGTCAAGTCAAAGTAGACACAAAAGAAACACCTCTGAGAAGGACCTCTCCTCCAAGAAAGCGCCATACCACCATCATTCTGGAGAAAGCAGGGCAAATAGGAAGTGAACTGGAAAAAGAAGGCTGTTACGGTCATCTGGGGAAGTACTGAGGCAGAGATGAAGCTTCCTGAAGTGATGAACACAAGAGAAGGAGCTGACAGGGCTGAGTCACAGGCTGTGCAAATGTGAAGAACAGTGGAAAGCCTTTCCCCTGACCTTCCCCTTTGCCAAACCACTCTCACCAGAGATGCCCTCCAGAAGGGGTGTCTGGAAGGGGAGGCCACTGCCGGTGCTGCCCACACCTCAAAAAGGTGAAGTGGCTTCAAAGCGAACTCAGCTTCACACCAGATGGACCTCGGTGGAGCCAGAGAGGAGGTGACAAATGTTTGCCTCGCACTTTGCTGAGAGAGGGGTCTAAATGGAAACCCCAGGCTCCAGCACCCTCAGACCCCAAGCTGGTTTGGAGATCCCACGTCCCCAGCTGCCACCTCTGCCCCCTTTTCCAGCTCAGCGGGGCCTCAGACCCAGGGACTCGGATCCTCTCATGACCACGCTCCCCCTCCTGCCCACCTCTCCCAGCTCTTCATGGCCAAGGCTGAACTTCAGGCACTGGCAGGTTCTGCAAACGCTTGCAGCTTCCCCTCGTCTGCCCCAGAAATGAAACATTTCTTAGTACTGTGAAAACTTTTCCCTAACCATTTTCTTGTTCTGCTCTTCGCTCGCAGCAGCACAGCTGCTCCCACTTACCGCCAGCCCAACACCACGCAGCAGCAGCACCCCAAAACCGCCGTGCTAGCAAGACCCAGCATGAGGGGCTTTGCAGCCTGGCAGGCAGAAGCCCTGCATGGCACCTGGGGTCAGGCTGCACCCAGCGGCACGCGGGGCCAAACACCCTCCCCAGCTCCATGACCTGCTCCGTAGCGATCCCTGTAGCCGTCCCCGCGTGCGGGGAGCGAGCAGACACCCTCTCCCAGCCCTCTGCAGCAGCAGCACCCACCCTCTCAGCAAAGGAGCGGGGGTCCCAGCACCCAGGGCGACGTGCATAAGGGTCAGAGCCTGCCTTCTTCTGCAAGCAAAGCTGCGCAGGGTTTAAATCCGGGTCTGCGCTCTTTGCCCCACCAGTTCGCTGCGCATCTCAGCCAGCTCGGTGCTGGGGTACCAGAGGAGTCAGCGAGAGCGCCCAAACCGAGACCTTCCCTCCATTTAGTGATTTCCCTGCGCATTTACATCAAGGGCGACTTCCAAGCCAGGGCTTCTCTTCTTACAGGCAATTGCTCCCCCCTGCACGCGCTACAACCCTGCCTGGCAAACGCGGGGCTGCGGGAGGCACCACCCGCAAGCGTGCACGCGGAGGTGCTGCCCAGGCACCGGCTGCAGGATGCAGGAAACGCTGGCCGTAAACATTCCTCCTCATCCTCCCTGGCTCCCTTTTCCAGCAGGAGCGGGGCTCTCCCGGCACAGCGCTGAGACGCGGCACGCAGCAGGACGCAGCTCAGCGCTGGCTCTGCGGTAAGCAAAGCTATCGAGGTGGCTCAGCCAAGTCAGGTGGGCACGGATTTTGTGGGGGAACAAAGGAGAACATCATTTATACAGTGCAAAAGCTGTTAGCACTGATTGCAGGGTAACAAACAGTGATTGCACGCTAGACTTTAATTTGGTGCTGCAAGAATGTGTTCAACTCCAGGAAAATTCACTCCCATGCCTATTTTTTTCATTCCTACATATTTTTCCCAATGGAATACCCAACCCTTTCAGAAAAAGAGGACATGGCCTTCTGCATTTCCCAACATTTCCGCTTCCAAAACACTGTTCTTCCTGAGCCGGCCCTAAGACGGCAGTTCCTGTGCCAGAAAGGGTTTTTGAGATGCTCTGATCAAACCGTCTCTTAGTAGTTCTGAATTTATTAGTCCCTGAGAAGCACCAAAAATAACAGGATCCTGGGCCTGGTTAATCTTTCACTCCTAGCTGCACAAATCGATTATCTCAGAGAAAATATTGCTAATGTACCCAGATGTAAGTCCAAAAGAATTCATTATTCTCTGTGTGCAGTATTACTCTCACACTTGTAGGGATAACCCAGCCCCCTCCTTCCCCACGTACTGTCACCACCATCCCCTCCGCAGGGCTTTTACTGAAAAGTTTTAAACTCAACACTGAATTCAGAAATGTTTCTTGGATACCGTCACACAGAGGCATTGCAGAAACTGGAAAAACTGATTTTGGCCAATTTAAGAACACAAATTCGACTATCGCGCTCATCCAGGAAAAGCTCCTTTTCGTGCTTGGTGAGGCTTACAGCTTGATGGGCAGCACAACTTGCATCTATTAGTTTTTTTAATTCCTTTTACACTATTCATATATTTCATTTAGCCACAACACAGTGCTTTACAGCTGGAGCTAAGATTCAAAAGCAATATTACAAAAACTAAATGTGCAATCTGAAAGCTACCCTGTAAGGACACCAGTTTAAGGCCTTTGGAAGTCAGCTGTGGGCACAGAGATTTGGGGATGCGACTTCTGCCGCGGGACGATTAGATCAAACTGCCTGGGTGGGAAGGGCAAACAATTGACAATTTGCTCCCTTCTGCTTCTGCTTAGCAGTCTAAGAATAAAAGATCACCACTGCCACAGACCGCCGTGTGAATTCATCTTTGAAATAGTACACTCTTCATGCCCAAAATTAAATCAACATTGTCTCCTTTTTGTCTTGGGTTCACAGGGTGAAACTCATTCTCAAGCTCAAGGATTAATGGATAATTTAAACTGGGGATGCTAACACAAGGGTTTAGGAAGTCACCAGCCCTAAGACGGAGTGCTGCCCATCATCAAACAGAGAGCAAAAATGGGAGATGTTATTACAAACAGCTAGGTATGTCCCTCCTCCTGCCATGACTCTGATGCTCTGCAACAGGCACAGAGGGAGGGGAGCTCGCCGGCTCAGCGTGGGAATCGCTGTGGGGGCCCTTGGGGAGATCCCTGAAGCTCAGCCCAGACCTGGAGGGCTTCTCTGCCATCCGAGGAGAACTGAAGATGGCCACGAGCGTGGTCCTGGCAGGAATGGCACACCAGGACTGTGCAGCCCCCAGCACCCGACAGCGTGGCCCCCCGGAAGCCGCAGGGAGACGGTACCCCACGCCCTGCCGCAGACCGGAGCGGTGGGCATCCCACCTCCGGCTGGGCAGAACTGCCGGGGACCGGGAAAGGGGAACGTGCTGAGCACCGGGCACCACGCGTGCAGGAGGGTCTGCGGGAGGCGAGCTGTGGAAGCTGAGCCAGCCCTTTCTGCCAGGAATTGCCGCAAGAAACAGGAGGAACAGCAACTCCCTTTTTTTTATGGGAGCAAACCTGTCTCCTCAGCAATGTTCAGTCGCAGAAGCCATGCACCTCGCCGTACATCCAGTGGTCACGACCCTCGGGTACCGGATTTTAAGGCTTTGAAGCAAAATTTCTTTATGTTTGAGGGTCTGACTGATGACAGCAGTCTTACTGCTGAGGAAAAGTTAATTCAGAGACATGATGACTATGCAACCCATGGAATCAAAACAAAAAATCCTGCAGCAACTAGTAGGCTCTGGGAGAGCACTGGCAGCATGAGCACCAGTTCAAAACTCCTGTTTTTCTTGGGCAAAACATCATATTCATTTTTCTGTATGCTCACGAGAGTTGTTGCAAAACTGTAAGCCTTAAAAACACAAAGCAATTGCTTATAATGAATCGACCTTTTATATTTGCTTCTTAACTATGCAATAAAGCGCCTTTTTTTTCCCTTCAGAAATATCGTCTGCCAAATTCTTGCAAGAATTCTGAACACACATGAAAGCCTCCCCCCACCATGCAACAGCTTCTGATAACAAGCATGCTCGCATGGCTCAGTCCAGCCATTCCCTTCTGATTTTTAATTAAAAGGAAAAGATCGAAGAAAAGTGATGGCTCAGGGGAATGAAACAGGGACCTGGCCACAGTCCAAGGCCTGAGTCACAAGTTCAAATCTCCACCTTCGGCCTTGATCCCACGGCTCTTTTGCATACCAACAGAAAACAGATATGCGCTTTTGTTTCCAATTTATAGAAGGAGCTGTCTCAGTTTAGAGTCAAGCACTGTCAGCTTTGTGGAGGATCCAAAGTTATTTTAACTCCTTCCACCCAAGACTATATTTTTTTAGTCGAGCAGGTTCCTTTTAAACAGATGCAAAGGCTAAGACTAGTACTGACAACAGTTTTGGGTGGGATTTGATGGACCTTGCTTAATGCCAGTGTCATCTCATAGAGAACATGCACCTCAGCCCCAAACTTGTTCACGATCCACCACCAAAGCTCACAGGCTCTGGAAGGGGCCAGCAGCCCCTGCTTTAGTGAGCTACAAGGTCACGAGCTGTAACACGCTCTCAGCATGTCCTGGCCACCCCTTCTTACCCCCACAAACACACCTCAGCACGTGGTTCACAGCCACTGGGGACTCACCAGGACGAAGATTCAAGGCGACCTTCTGAGGTGTGATCTGCGTGACGTCCAGGTGGGTCTGGCCAGAGCCCTTGCTGCTCAGAGGGACGTTCTTCACCACATTGATGCTGCTGCTGGGGTTTTCGATGGCTCCAGCACAGCCGTTTGCAACCAGGTTCTGCAGGAAGTCACACCGCGACGTGATGGACTTTGTGCTGCCAAACTCCTGTCGGGTGAAGAATGGACAAAAGGGAAGGGGAGGGAGAAACATCAGTCCCACAGCTGGAGCTCTGCTTTGACATGCTGGTATCTGTAGCAAATAGGAGATGACACGAGAAGCTGGTGTCATTTGTGGTGACTGTATCTAAAAGCAGCCTGCACTGAGCCTTGACCCTGTCAAAGAGATCTACCAAAAAAGAAACCCTGCAAGGGTTTGAAAATTGAATTTGCGCTCAGATTATCGAAGCAGAAACCTAATCCTGGGTTTCCACCCCAGCCACAGCAGCAGCGCTTGCTCCCAGCCCTGTGAAAGCACAGCAAAGTGTTTGGTTTGCAGCCTGGACAGCCAACGGCCATCTCTTTGAGGGGAAAAGTTGAGAAGCTGTTATTTCTTGCACGTGCAAAAAATAACATCATCGCCTTGAAGGAGCTTTGCAAAAGAGAGAGGGCAGGACAAGAAGGTGGCACCACGGGACACGGGCCAAACCCACCAACCCAGAGAGCCAAGTCAAGATGTGAAGCTGGAGACCGAGGCTGGGTGGCTCCAGGGACCTGTGCCCTCTTCCCCAGGCAAGATGCCACACATCCCCGCGCAGGCACCGCCTGTGCCCCCACCCTCGCACCTCCGCACAGCGGGCGTTGGTACGACACCATCGCATGAGAAAACAGAAGTGACCACAGCAAGGGGTCCCCGAGGCGGAGCACAGCCGGGGCGGCTTGAGGTGGGCAGGCTGTCCTGCAGAAGAGGGGAGGTGGGAGAGCCTGCATGGGAGGTGGTCAGCAGGCGGCCCGTGCCCAGCGCAGGCAGCAGCTGGCTCCTGGACCACGGGCTGCCGTGGCAGGCGGCCGCACAATGCAGCCTTTTGCAAAGAGCACATTTCTTAGAACGCCTTTTTTTTTTTTTCCCTCTCTCCCCAATAGGGCCAAAGGGAGCAAGTCGCATGCCCAAAACTTACTGTATTTTCAACAGCTGATTCCTACTTTTTTCTGCACTATAACAATAGAGACAACCTTCTTCTGCTCCAGGGCTGACGGATTAAAATGACATGAAATAATGCAGAGAAGATGCTCACAGCCATGCCAGCCCCTCCTTCAGCTGCACAGCCAAAAAGCAGCATGGGACTGAATAAACCCCACTTTTTGCTAATGCTCCAGAATGGCAGAGGATGCAGGAGACATCAAGGAGGGAGAGGTTGTCTGACAGATCTCACTGTCACACCCCACAGGGTGCTCCGGGGTTCCCCCGAGGACAGCCTTGGCCACGGGGCCCAAGGACACAGAGAGAGGCTCTCTGCTGCATTTTCTCACTATGAGGTCCCTGCGCTATTTGAAAAATGCGAGATCTGCATTCCAGCATCCAGCAGCGGGGTCCAGACAAGGAGGCGGCACGTTGGATGGATACGAACTCGAATTTCTTGGAACACGCCGTGTAAACAGATGAACTTCCAGAAAGGAGGACTGGGACTATTTAAATCATCTCCAGCATGACAAAATAAAAATCAGAATCCCTCACAAAACTGAAAACAACACACAGCCTTTCAGAACAGCACGTTTAGGGCAGCCTCGGAGAAAAGTTTCTCTGGGATGTGGTTTGACCTAAAATCAGTGACAAGCTGTCGGGGTCCAGGCGCTCTCCCGGGCCAGTCCACCCAGCAGCAGGGCACCTGCGGGTTCATGCTCTCCTGCTCTCCAGGCAAGAACCTCTGCTAGCTCATTTCTGCTGCCACCTACTAGCAAGGGTGCTCTGGTTGTGCAAAAAGCAACGCAAACAGCACCAGGAGTGCAGGCGGGAATTAACACTGGAGAGAAGCACCCAAGTAGGACGATATTTAGGGCTGCTCATGCAACTGCAGCCTTTATCAGGCACTTCCAGTCCTCCCTGGGGTCTGCTCCATAGCCTCTTGATGTGAACGGAAAGACTCGACTTCAAAGGGCTTTGAATTAGGGCTTAATTTTCTGGCTGGGGCTGGGGTAGCAGAACAAGAGCCAGAAGAGGCGGGCAGCCCAGGGAGAGGAGGAAGGCAGCTTCCTCCCCCAGCTGCTACTCTTTAGCAGTCGAGCTCGTAACACGACGAGAGACGGCTCTGGGTATGGTACTGTTTATACCGATGTTCGTTGTCCCAGCAAGGGGCGTACATGCG